CTGGAGTGTGTGTCTCCAGGTTCCTTTTTTGTTTTTTGGCTGCCCTTTCTCCTCCTAAAGCTGCCTGGGCAGCTGTCCTTGTTGCTGCTTCATGAACTTGCATGTGCCTACAGCTCCTCTACCTGATTCCAACTTGGAACCAACTTGGAATACTGGGTGCTCCACTGCCTGCTTTTGCTTCCTCAGTACTTATCCCCTTGGAGGGGTTGGTCAGTGACCTCAGAAGTCTCTAGCCAGCCACCTTCCTGTCACACAGGATCTGGAAGATCCAAAGATATGTCACATGGAGAGGCAGCATGATATAATGGAAAGAACATGAACTTAGAATCAGAAAAATCCTCTTAGTGGCCATGGGATATGAGCCCTTTCCTCCGGATTCTCTCCCTGTCTTTTCCTCAAACCCCCACTCCCACTTCGTTCTAGTGACCTCCCCCTAAAAAGAAAAAATTATCTTGTATCTATTTCTGTATATATACACCTGTATTGCATGTTTCCCTCAAGCAGAAAGTAAGTCTCTTGAGGGCTGGGTCTGTTTTGATTTTACCAGTTTATCCCTAGCACCTAGTAGTTCCTGGTACATAATTGGCACTTAAGTGCATATTGATTGATTATATTTTTTATTTATCCCTGCCCTCTGCTCTTCTCTTCACTATCACTACCACCCCCCATCTTCCTCATAAGTTCCATGAGAGTAAAGACTATAATTTTATTTTATCTTTGTATTCAAAGTATCTTGCACATGGTAGATGCTTAATAAATGAGGGGATTGTTATGTGGTACCCAAAGGTTTTTTAGAGCCATAAAAAATAAAATGGCAAGGCCCACCTGACAGTAGTTAAACATTAAGTAAATAAATGGGATTTCTGACTAGTTATATAGCAAGCATCTGAGCAGGTTCTGCTGCTGGGCTGCTAACTTCTACATTTCTTAATCTTTCCTCTACATTCACAGCCACAAGTTTCTTCAGTCTCTAAAGCTTCCTGTTTCAGCATTGTTTTTCCAGCCACTCCTTTTTCTCTCTACTCTGCATGTTATAAAATCCACAGTAACAGAACTTTAAAAATCTTAAAGTCATTTCATTGACTAGCCCTATACTAAAAAAGTCCCTTAAATATAAATCAGAAAGTGGGTTGGAAAAAAATGCACATCTACTTGACTGATACAAAGTTTTCCTCTTATGCTTCCTCATGACTTGGAGGGGAGTCTGATTTCTCAAAGGCTATGTCAACCATAGTATAAGCTCTAGCAGGTCCTACCTTACTGGAAAGACTATAATCCTTGCACCAGACTGCCTGCTCTGTGAGGCTAGCATGGCCAAGTACAGAGAGGCTTCTCAGTGGGCTTCTCACTTGGTAATGAGTTCTGTGACCAAATGGAACAATGAGGAATACAAAATGGCCAATGATCCTATGATTCCCTTTGGTTTTGCAGTGATACTAGCAGAATGGAAGAAAGGGGGTCAGAGAGGACCAACAGTCAAGCAGTTCTTAGACAATGTATAAAACTTAAGCTGGCTATTAGTACTCTTTGTTTGAGATCCTTCACCAGTGAACAAGTGGTTATACTACTAGAGCAACTGGGTCATATCAATCTTGAAATTCTTGCTATAAATGAAACCAGAAACCACAGGAAAATTACAGCCAGGTGGAAGTCTAATACAACTCTTTTTTTTTTTAATTAATTTATTTTGATTTATCAACAATCACATAAACTTTTGAGTTTTAAATTTTTCTCCCCCTCCCTCCTTGTCTCCCTCCCCAATCTGATATAGGCTCTACATATACATTCCTAGTAAACATATTTTCACATTAGTGGTGTTGTAAGGAAGAATTAGAACCAATAGGAGAAACCGCAAGAAAGAGAAAACGGGACAAAACAGAACAAAAAAAAAATAGCAAACAATATGCTTCGATCTGCATTCAAACTCCATAATTCTTTCTTTGGATGTGGACAGCATTTTCCATCATGAGACCTTTGGAGATATCTTAGATCCTTGTATTGCTGAGAAGGGTTAAGTTTATCGATATCAGTCATTGCACAATGTGGCTGTTACTGCCTTCTCCTGGTTCTGCTCACTTCACTCAGCATCAGAGCATACAGGGCCTTCCAGGTTTTTCTGAAGTCAGCCTGTTCATCATTTCTTATAGCACAGTAGTATTCCATTACATTCATATAACACAACTTGTTGAGCCATTCCCCAATTGATGGGCATCCTCTCATTTTCTAATTCTTTGCCACCACAAAAAGAGCTGCTATAAATATTTTTGTACATGTGGGTGTCATATTCATTTCTTAAGCTATACCTTCACTTCCACCTGTCCAGTGATCTCATAATATAGATTTTTAAAAAGAGAGGAAAGGTATTGGTCAGTTTTGCTGCTTTTTTTTCTCTTCCTCTTTTTCTTTGTTCTTTAAAAAAAAAAATCTCATTTTATGGGATGGTTCTCTGAGGGGTAGAGGAAGAGATACAGGAGCAAATTTAAACAATGTAAAAACAAAAGCTATCAATAAAAAATTTTTCTTAAAAAAAAAAATGAGAGGGAGGGGTGGAAAGCAGTTTAGCAAACCAACCAACACATCACCAAAGTTTGGTGATCCCTGCAACAGTTTACTTATGAGGAAGGAGGAGTAAGCCATCTTTTTTGTTTTTGTTTTTGTTTTTTTTTTAAATCTAGTTTAGTCTCTGGAGAGGCAAGAGAAGAATGTTCAGAGCTAACATTTTTCTGGTGCTTGCAGGTTTACAGTATCTCAGTTAGCTTTACAGTGTGTGTACTCGCCTGCGAATGTTTAGTACAGGAGACAGACAAGTGCAAAATAAACTGACTCGTTGAGTTTTTGACCCAGGAGGGAGTTGGGGGTTTTGTTGTTGTTGTTGTTTTTTTTTTTAACGTGTTAGTACTAAGTCATCCCATTCTCCACTGTCTACATTTATATCAGTCAGTCAGTAATTAACTTTGGAACTCAAGTTATCAAGTTAGAACAATAAGTGCTTTAGGAGTTCAATCAATAAGCATTTATTGAGTGCTTGCTATATACAAGGTCCTGTTCAAGAACAGTACCTTGTTGATACAAACACAAAAATGACATAATCAGTTTCAGGTGGTATGGCCAATGAAGACTTCCCAGAAGAACTGGAGATGAGATTTGGATAAGCCAAGGGTAGATGTGAGGGCAGGACAGTGCAAGGGGAGAAACCAATTCAACAAATTCTTAAGTGCCTGCTAGACATTCATCCAGATATCCTATTGGTATCTCCAACTCAACATGTCCAAAATAGAACTCGTTTTCTTTCACCCTAAATTCATTTCCCTTACCTTCAAACATTCCCTATTTCTGTGGAGAATACCATCCTTCTAGAAAATCAAGTTCACAACCTAAGTTGTTCTAATGATTGCCTCTCCCTCATAGCCCCTCCACTAATATCCAGTCAGTTGCCAGATCTTAGCAATCCTAATTCCATAATATCTCTAACATCTGTCCCCTTTCTCTTTCTTTTTTCACTCATAGCCACCACTCTAAATCACCTGTACCATCTCTCAGCTGGACTACTGCAATAGTTTTTTCAGTGACCTGTAATTAGTCTCCCTGCTTCCAGTCTGTCTTTTTGAATCCATCCCCCATACAACTGTCAAATTAATATTCCTAAGAAATAGATCTGACCACATCACTCCCTTATTCAAAAAATGTGTGTGCGCTCCTCTATTCCCTCCATAATAGGGGTGTTTAACTTGGGTCCATGGATTTCAGGGGTGACTGTGAACATGGATGGGAATAAATTACTTCTTTATTTCAGTATAATTCATTTGTAATCCTATGTGTTTTTTTGCATTTAAAATTATTCTAAAAAGAGAGAAAACATTCTTTTGCATCACTCCACATTGAGAACACAACTCTCGCCAGACTTTGTGCCCATGACACCAAAAAAGGGCAAGAGCCCAAGTTCTGAAATAAAATACAAACAGCCTGGCATTTAAAAAAAATTTTAGTTTTGTTGATGCCTTTTGTTTTTTAAATTGCAGTAATTTCTATACCATATACCGTGCTCTGAAAAGCAGAACCATGAAGGGAAAACAAGCCTTCTGTTGGCTGCTTCCAGCAGGGGATGCTCCATCCTGCCTTTGTAGCCCCCACCTCTTGGGTGACAGCAGGGCAGTAGCTCCCATCGTTTGTTCTGTTTCTCAGTGATTCAGAGTTTAGCTTCTTTTCCGTGTCCTTTTTATTTATGTTATTGTGATTACTGTGTACATTCTTCTGGTTCTGCTTATTAACTCTATATCAGTTCATATAAATCTCACGTTTTGCTGAACTCGTTATTCTTCTGCTTCATTATAATCTATTACCCTCATAAAATTATAGATCAAGAGCTGGAGGTTATCTCAGAACTATCTGGTCCATCATTTTACAGATAAGGACAGTGAAGTCCAGGGAGGTTGAGATTTGTGTGAGGTCTCACAGGCAGCACACATTAGAAATAGGATTCAAACCCAGATCCATTTTCCTCTTGCCACTGGCAGTAGGCTGCCTCCCACTATTCAGCCATTCCTCAGTAAATGGGCATCTACTTGTTTCCAGTTCTTTACTGCCACCAAAAAATGCTGCTATGAATATTGGGACATGTATGGGACCTTTCATTTTAGCTTTTACTTCCTTGAATTACCTGGATTAGAGGGTATGAACAGTTCAGTCATTTCTCTTGTACCATTCCAAATTGGTCTCCAGAATGGTCAGACCAGTTCATACCTTTATTGTGACAGTAGATTAGTGTTCCTGTCTTCCTATTGCTATCACTCCAACATTGACTTTGCTGGGCATGAGGTAAAACCTCAAAGTTATTTTAATATGCCTTTCTCTTATTTGTAGTGATGTGGCACATATCTTCATATGGGTGTTGGTAGTTTGCTATTCTTTAGAAAACTTCCTATCCTTTAATCTCTTCAAGACATTTACATTAATTTTGTTTATGCAAAATTTAAAATTATATGTAATAAAAAATTCTTTTTTAAATAGTGAAACATTTTACAATTTTGCCTGTCTTCCTTTACCCTGTGGCATTGTTCATCTTTTCTGTCCATTCCAGTTTTAGTAAATATGCTCTGGAAGAAAGCACTTAGCCTAGCATTTTAAACCTCCAAGATTTGACTCCTGCCTGTTTTCAGACTTATTTCCCATTGGGATGATGAGAGCTAGCATCCATAATGTGCTCCATGTCTCATCTTAACTCTTAGCCTTACTGTAATACTGAGAGCTAGATGCTATAGATAGGTATTTTTATCTTTATTTTACAGATAAGGAAATTGAGGCTCTTAGAGATTAAGTGACTGGCTTGTGATCATACTGCTAGTAGTTGTGTAGCAAGATTGGAGCTCAGGATTTCTGCTCCAAGTCTAGCCCTCTCCTATGCCATGCTGCTTCTCTCAAATTGTAGGATTTTCGAGTTAGAAGGAGTCTTACAGATCATCTTTTCCAAGCCTCTCTTTTGCAGTGTCCTCTATGTCACCCACATACTGTCATGAGTAGCCACAGAAGCTTGAGGTAGGTTACATAGTGTCTTATTGAAGACATATTTTGGGGAAAGTGATTAGAGCAGTTTGACTTAAGCCAAGGCTTTGTGTGTATTCTCTCATTTGACAAACATGTGCCTACTGTGTGCATTTCAGAACACTGTGATAGGTAAGCACTGGGAAAGATAACAAGTTTAGGACAGTCACCATGTGAGTGTTAGTAGCCTTTTACCCCTTTCCTTCCACTCTGTCCCTGTCAGTAGAGAAAAGGAAGGACACTACTGCATAGGACTGAGACTATTTTGTATTTTTTGTTGTTTCATGGGATACTGTGACCAAAAATTCATGACCTAGTCACGAGCTTACTAATGTTGAGCCTCTCCATATTGAGTTAAGCAGACAGTGATCAAGACCGTACTTGAAAGCCTTTCCAAACTGAAAAAACCCATCCTAACGTAAAGAAGGATAACCATTTGTCAAATATGATGCAGCTGGAATTGTTGTACGCGTCTGCTGGGTTGGACTAGCTGGTCTCAATGGTTCCTTCCAACCCTGTGAGGTTAATAGGAAACATTTCAGTAGCAAATCACTGGGGTCAAGACTGGGTATGAGAAACTAGAGGGAGAGAGGGGTTAAAGAAAAGGCCCAAAGAACCAAAAGTTAAAAATAAAAATGAAGAGTAGGTTTAGTGAGTGGAAGAGGTGGAAGGATAGAGAGGTCAGAGTGTAGAATTTTAAAGTTTCAGCTTTGAGAAGTTCATACAATTCGTTGAGAGAGTATGTGGGATCTCGGTATTCTTCTAGTTTAACACTTAGCTAAGAGTTCCCCTTTACAACATACCAAACAAGTGATCATCCAGCCTCAGCTTGAGGAGGAATCCTCTGCTTCCCAAGACAACCCATTCACTTGGGGATATTCTAACTGTTAGCAAGTTTTTTCTTTACAACAAGGTTACATCTGTCTCTTTAAAATTTCTTCCCATTGTTCCTAGTTCTGTTCTCAGTGATCAAGCAGAATAAATCTAGTCCTTTTTCAAAATAGTAGCCCTTCACATATTTAAAGATAGCTACCTTTCCCAAGTCTTCTCATCCCTAGGTCACACATCCCCATTTTCTTTATTACTGTTAACTCCAATATTGAGCATACAGTTCACTCAGTCCTTTAGAAGCTTTTCAGATGTTTGACCATGCCTATCCCATATTGGACTTGGGAAGCTGATTTTTTTAACTTACTTGTAGGAATTTAAATATATTCCTATTGAATTTAATCTTACTAGATTCAATCCAATACTCCCAGCTGAAAATACTTTTTTTGCATCTTGAATCTGCCATCCAGTATTTTAGTTATCTTTTCCAATTTTGTGTCATCTGCAAATATGATAAGTATGCTCTTTATCCAGATGATTTCAAAAAATGTTGAACAGCAAAGTGCCAAGAACAGATCCCTGTGGCACTCCACAGAAAATCTCCTTTCAAGTTAACATTAAGGACCAGACTCCAGCCATTCAACCAGTTCTAAATCTTACCTAATTTTGCTGTCATCTAATCTCCATCTCTTTGTCTTTTCCACTATAAGAGAGTTTGTATCAAATGTAATCCTAATGGCTGGCATACACCACATTCTCCTAAGTTTAGAATGCTGTCAGAAAAGGCTAAAGCTATCTTTTCTAGATTTTTAGTCACCATACCTTTCTTCCCTTTGTTTTTGAAAATCTGATTAGGTCCTGCCAGCTTAGGTAATGGAGGAGTGAGTGAGGCTTGTTCTGCAAGGGCTGCACTGTCAAGATAGCATGCAGGTGAGATCAAAGGGGAAGTAAATACGTTCTAATTCATGAAAGATATATGGGAAAAACAGTTCCCATAAGTCTTCATAGATGCCTTATAAATTACCCACCTGTGTCTTTTTGGGTTGATTACATTTTTTCTGTGTGTGGCTTTTCCATTTATTTTTCTTTCAAGTAGTTTATACAGATGGCAGTGTCCTTAGGAAAGAAGAATGTATAGAATATTGAAGGAATCTTTTCTCTGTTTCTTTTTCTGGTGACTTAATGAGGGGGGGAAATGGCAGAAACCCGCTAGGCAGTTCTCTATGTGCAAAGTCCTAAAAGAGAGGTAAGTCCTTAAAAGGGTATGAAAATGGGGGGCAGCTAGGTGGCTCAGTGGAAAGAGCACCAGCCCTGAAGTCATGAATACCTGAGTTCAAATCCAGCCTCAGACCAAACACTTGTCACTTACTAGCTGTGTGACCCTGGGCAAGTCACTTAACCCCAATTGCCTAAAAACAACAACAGAAAAAGGCTATGAAAATGAAGGAGAAGACAGGAGCGTTCCATCTGGGCAGGAATATACAATGAATGCCCAGTTAGATAATTGTAATACAGAGTTGAGTGTGGTTGAATAAAGAAAGGGGAAGAAAAAAAAAAAAGCACAGCATACTTTAAAAATTCTGAGGAGGGAAGGACCATTTCTTCCTCTTGCTTCTTCCTCTGCTGAGCACAAAAGAATCCTGTCCACAGTAGTTCTCCAAAAATGAGAGATTTGTTTTCCTTCCACCCCCCAAATGAAATCTTTTTTTTAAAAGGAAACTTTTGTATTAGATAAGTGAAGCAAATCCCTGCATTGCTCATATCCAAAAAATATATATCTCCATCTACAATCTATGGCTCTCTGTTAGGCCTGTTTGCTGAATGGGCATTACCTCAGTCAAAGTGAGAACCTGAAAAGACCTTAGTTTAAAAGGGCCAGGGTCTTTCATTGCATCCTGGACCATTTCCAGTCATCCTGATGAATATCTGGCCACTAGATCCAGATGGCTCTGGAGGAGAAAGTGAGGCTGGTGACCTTGCACAGCCTTCCCTCACTCAAATCAAAGTCATGTCATTATCTCCCTGATGTCATGGTCCTCTTTGAGAATGAAGGACAAACACAATGCAACAATGGCTCTCTCTTAGGAGGTAGGGAATGTGCTTTATGTTTAGTCCTGGAATCATGGCTGGTCATTTCACTCATCGGTTTTCAGGTCTTTTGAAGTTGTGGTGCTCACTTCATTCTACATCATTTCATAGAGGTCTTTCTAGTTTCTCTAAAACCATCCATTTCACTATTTCACATAGGGGAAGAGAAGGGAATACCCATTTATTGGGGAATGGCTGAACAAGTTATGATATGTGGTGGTGGAATGCTAGTGCTGTAAATCATTGAAGGGAATAGTTTCAGAGGAACTTGGAAAGACTTACATGAACTGATGCAAAGTAAAGTGAACAGAACCAGGAGAACAGTTTATATAGTAACAACTATAATGTAAAGGCAAACAACTTTAAAAGATTTAGAAACTTTGATCAACACAATGACCAACCCCAATTCCAGAGGACTCCTGCTAAAACATGGATTCAGAGTGCAAATTGAGTAATGTATGTTTTGTTTTTGGTTTTGGTTTTTCCCTGGTTAATGCAGGAATTTATTTTGCTTAACTATATGCGTCTGTGATGGGTTTTTAAATTTCCTTTCTCGTTGAGGAAGGAAAGGAGAGGTGGAAGGGAGAGAATTCAGGACTGAAAATAAGATTGAATTAAAAAAAATTATTTGGAGCAGTCTTTCATATGGTGTTAATAGTTTGCAGTTCTTTTGAGGAACTGCTTATTCATATCCATTTACCCTTTGGAACATCTGTGTCTTTTTGGGGACAGCTCGGTGGCACAATGGATAGAGCACCAGCCCTGCAGTCAGGAGGACCTGAGTTCAAATCTGGCCTCAGACAGTTGACACCAACTAGCCATGTGACCCTGGGCAAGTTGCTTAACCCCATTGCCTAGTCTTCCACCTCCCCCCCACCCAAAAAAAAAACCACAATTAATATCCTATAATAATTTCATTTCTTCAGTTCCTTAAGTGGATCCATTGGCCATTTTCTTTTGTCCCAAGAAAATTCAGGTTTTGTTTCTGGTGCTTTTGTTGTTGTTTATGTTGGGTTTTTTCTAATGGTATTTCTGCCTTTTCTTTGAAGCCTTTTTTTTTTATGTTTCAACTCTGCTTTTCATTTTTGAAATGTGGCTTTTTCTAAAAATAATTTTCTTTTGAAAGTTTCTGGTACTTTTCCTTCTTTTTGGCTTTTTTTGTTGCTGTTTTTGAGAGGCTATTGAAGAGCTAGGCTTGCTGGCAACAAGCCTCTTATTCTTCCATCTCTATAAGAAGTCTCCTGCTGCTGTTATCTACATTCATTTGTGGTTTTATGCTTGTTTGTCTTAGGCAGTGAAATAGAGGTGCTCCGAAAGGAATGACAGATATGAAGAATTCTTATCTGACAAAAATGAGAGGGCAAAGAACAACAAACATAATTACTACAGCAGTTTAAGTAAAGAAATGTATATCGCAGTAGTTAACTCACTGATTATTTCATGATTTTAAATTATTTTAATGGTATTTTTTCTTGCTCCTCTCCTAGTTTTTGTTAATAATATATCAAAATTGTCATATTTTAAAAATTTCTTTTGTATCCTGCTACTTTGCTGAAGCAATTGTCTCAACTTTTTTTGTTGACTTAGGATTTCTATGTAAACCATCATATAATCTAGAAAGATAAGTTTATCTTCTCTTTCCAAAAGATCATT